TGCAAACGCAATTTTCAACTTAGAATTTGAAATATTTCGGAAACGGTTAGACTTGAGTATTGGAAATTATACATGAAACATGTTCAGAATCATGCGTAAAAAAATCTAAAACATTGATAATTCATAGGGTGTTCCATTCAAAATAACGAAGCTGGGGAACAACCGGAAGTGTCACAATCTCCAAAATTTAGCCGGATAACACTTATCGAAAATAGTGAACTCCCAAATTTTCAAATTCGGCCCACCTATATAGTTTTCTATATATTGATCGATGCAGTTCCCGGAGGGACACCTTGTATATATACTATACGATCAAAAAGATAACTCAAAGACCTTTCAAACGACATATCACACTACCATATTTCGATAAAAAAGTCATCGGGCAATTTTGAGGTACAGGATGCTCACATCCATATGGACAGTCCCTACCGTAACTCCACTCGTGCACAACTATCCAAAATTCCAAAATAACGATGTCCTAGATATCATTAATCCGTCCTTATTGTCCATACTATGTCGATATACACTATTCGATCAAAATAACAACTCGAAGACCTTTCAAAAGACATATCACACGACTATATTTCGATGGAAAAGTAATCGGGCAATTTTGAGGTACAGGGTGGTACCATCCATATGGACAGTCCCTAACGTGAAACCCTCCACTCGTGCACAGCTATCCAAATTCCAAAATAACGATGTCCTACATATCATTAATCCGTCCTTATTGTCCATACTATGTCGATATACACTATTCGATCAAAATAACAACTCGAAGACCTTTCAAAAGACATATCACACGACCATATTTCGATGAAAAAGTAATCGGGCAATTTTGAGGTACAGGGTGGTACCATCCATAAGGACAGTCCCTAACGTGAAACCCTCCACTCGTGCACAGCTATCCAAATTCCAAAATAACGATGTCCTACATATCATTAATCCGTCCTTATTATCCATACTATGTCGATATACACTATTCGATCAAAATAACAACTCGAAGACCTTTCAAAAGACATATCACACGACTATATTTCGATGGAAAAGTAATCGGGCAATTTTGAGGTACAGGGTGGTACCATCCATATGGACAGCCCCTAACGTGAAAGCCTCTGCTTGTGCACAGCTATCCAAATTCCAAAATAACGATGTCCTACATATCATTAATCCGTCCTTATTGTCCATACCATGTCGATATACACTATTCGATCAAAATAACAATTCGAAGACCTTTCAAAAGACATATCACACGACCATATTTCGATGGAAAAGTAATCGGGCAATTTTGAGGTACAGGGTGGTACCATCCATATGGACAGTCCCTAACGTGAAACCCTCCGCTCGTGCACAGCTATCCAAATTCCAAAATAACGATGTCCTACATATCATTAATCCGTCCTTATTATCCATACTATGTCGATATACACTATTCGATCAAAATAACAACTCGAAGACCTTTCAAAAGACATATCACACGACTATATTTCGATGGAAAAGTAATCGGGCAATTTTGAGGTACAGGGTGGTACCATCCATATGGACAGCCCCTAACGTGAAAGCCTCTGCTTGTGCACAGCTATCCAAATTCCAAAATAACGATGTCCTACATATCATTAATCCGTCCTTATTGTCCATACCATGTCGATATACACTATTCGATCAAAATAACAATTCGAAGACCTTTCAAAAGACATATCACACGACCATATTTCGATGGAAAAGTAATCGGGCAATTTTGAGGTACAGGGTGGTACCATCCATAAGGACAGTCCCTAACGTGAAACCCTCTGCTCGTGCACAGCTATCCAAATTCCAAAATAACGATGTCCTACATATCATTAATCCGTCCTTATTATCCATACTATGTCGATATACACTATTCGATCAAAATAACAACTCGAAGACCTTTCAAAAGACATATCACACGACTATATTTCGATGGAAAAGTAATCGGGCAATTTTGAGGTACAGGGTGGTACCATCCATATGGACAGCCCCTAACGTGAAAGCCTCTGCTTGTGCACAGCTATCCAAATTCCAAAATAACGATGTCCTACATATCATTAATCCGTCCTTATTGTCCATACCATGTCGATATACACTATTCGATCAAAATAACAATTCGAAGACCTTTCAAAAGACATATCACACGACCATATTTCGATGAAAAAGTAATCGGGCAATTTTGAGGTACAGGGTGGTACCATCCATAAGGACAGTCCCTAACGTGAAACCCTCTGCTCGTGCACAGCTATCCAAATTCCAAAATAACGATGTCCTACATATCATTAATCCGTCCTTATTGTCCATACTATGTCGATATATACTATTAGATCAAAATGACAACTCGAAGACCTTTCAAAAGACATATCACACGACTATATATTTCGATGGAAAAGTAATCGGGCAATTTTGAGGTACAGGGTGGTACCATCCATATGGACAGTCCCTAACGTGAAACCCTCCGCTCGTGCACAGCTATCCAAATTCCAAAATAACGATGTCCTACATATCATTAATCCGTCCTTATTGTCCATACTATGTCGATATACACTATTCGATCAAAATAACAACTCGAAGACCTTTCAAAAGACATATCACACGACCATATTTCGATGAAAAAGTAATCGGGCAATTTTGAGGTACAGGGTGGTACCATCCATAAGGACAGTCCCTAACGTGAAACCCTCCACTCGTGCACAGCTATCCAAATTCCAAAATAACGATGTCCTACATATCATTAATCCGTCCTTATTATCCATACTATGTCGATATACACTATTCGATCAAAATAACAACTCGAAGACCTTTCAAAAGACATATCACACGACTATATTTCGATGGAAAAGTAATCGGGCAATTTTGAGGTACAGGGTGGTACCATCCATATGGACAGCCCCTAACGTGAAAGCATCTGCTTGTGCACAGCTATCCAAATTCCAAAATAACGATGTCCTACATATCATTAATCCGTCCTTATTGTCCATACCATGTCGATATACACTATTCGATCAAAATAACAATTCGAAGACCTTTCAAAAGACATATCACACGACCATATTTCGATGGAAAAGTAATCGGGCAATTTTGAGGTACAGGGTGGTACCATCCATAAGGACAGTCCCTAACGTGAAACCCTCTGCTCGTGCACAGCTATCCAAATTCCAAAATAACGATGTCCTACATATCATTAATCCGTCCTTATTATCCATACTATGTCGATATACACTATTCGATCAAAATAACAACTCGAAGACCTTTCAAAAGACATATCACACGACTATATTTCGATGGAAAAGTAATCGGGCAATTTTGAGGTACAGGGTGGTACCATCCATATGGACAGCCCCTAACGTGAAAGCCTCTGCTTGTGCACAGCTATCCAAATTCCAAAATAACGATGTCCTACATATCATTAATCCGTCCTTATTGTCCATACCATGTCGATATACACTATTCGATCAAAATGACAACTCGAAGACCTTTCAAAAGACATATCACACGACTATATATTTCGATGGAAAAGTAATCGGGCAATTTTGAGGTACAGGGTGGTACCATCCATATGGACAGTCCCTAACGTGAAACCCTCCGCTCGTGCACAGCTATCCAAATTCCAAAATAACGATGTCCTACATATCATTAATCCGTCCTTATTGTCCATACTATGTCGATATACACTATTCGATCAAAATAACAACTCGAAGACCTTTCAAAAGACATATCACACGACCATATTTCGATGAAAAAGTAATCGGGCAATTTTGAGGTACAGGGTGGTACCATCCATAAGGACAGTCCCTAACGTGAAACCCTCCACTCGTGCACTGCTATCCAAATTCCAAAATAACGATGTCCTACATATCATTAATCCGTCCTTATTATCCATACTATGTCGATATACACTATTCGATCAAAATAACAACTCGAAGACCTTTCAAAAGACATATCACACGACTATATTTCGATGGAAAAGTAATCGGGCAATTTTGAGGTACAGGGTGGTACCATCCATATGGACAGCCCCTAACGTGAAAGCCTCTGCTTGTGCACAGCTATCCAAATTCCAAAATAACGATGTCCTACATATCATTAATCCGTCCTTATTGTCCATACCATGTCGATATACACTATTCGATCAAAATAACAATTCGAAGACCTTTCAAAAGACATATCACACGACCATATTTCGATGGAAAAGTAATCGGGCAATTTTGAGGTACAGGGTGGTACCATCCATAAGGACAGTCCCTAACGTGAAACCCTCTGCTCGTGCACAGCTATCCAAATTCCAAAATAACGATGTCCTACATATCATTAATCCGTCCTTATTGTCCATACTATGTCGATATACACTATTCGATCAAAATAACAACTCGAAGACCTTTCAAAAGACATATCACACGACTATATTTCGATGGAAAAGTAATCGGGCAATTTTGAGGTACAGGGTGGTACCATCCATATGGACAGCCCCTAACGTGAAAGCCTCTGCTTGTGCACAGCTATCCAAATTCCAAAATAACGATGTCCTACATATCATTAATCCGTCCTTATTGTCCATACCATGTCGATATACACTATTCGATCAAAATAACAATTCGAAGACCTTTCAAAAGACATATCACACGACCATATTTCGATGGAAAAGTAATCGGGCAATTTTGAGGTACAGGGTGGTACCATCCATAAGGACAGTCCCTAACGTGAAACCCTCTGCTCGTGCACAGCTATCCAAATTCCAAAATAACGATGTCCTACATATCATTAATCCGTCCTTATTGTCCATACTATGTCGATATACACTATTCGATCAAAACGACAACTCGAAGACCTTTCAAAAGACATATCACACGACCATATTTCGATTAAAAAGTAATCGGGCAATTTTGAGGTACAGGGTGGTACTATCCATAAGGACAGTCCCTAACGTGAAACCCTTTGCTCGTGCATAGCTATCCAAATTCCAAAATAACGATGTCCTACATACCATCATTCAGTCCCCACCTGTCGCGAGTGATAGGTATAGAACCACGACCGTCATTTATCATGCAGGTTATGCTTATGCAGTGCTTTCTTGATTTTCACCGTGGTAATAGCACTGCTCGTTTTTTGGCGCCATCGGGGGACCAACGCTCACTTGTTTCACTTGTTGATCGTCGGTCGTAATCTTCTGCTTCTTTTCTTGTATTTTTTTCATTCCTTGATTTTGCCGCTGGACTGTGGAGCTAGTGGTGTTGGGGATTGTGTGGTTTTTGGATTGTTGTTTTTCGATGATGGTGGTGGCAATGTCGAGGTGCGTCGTTGGTGAATTTTCAGTTTTGGAAATTTTGGATTTTTAACTGGAGTACTCTTAGTATGTCAGCTAGTCAATAATTTTAGGTGAGTGGTTTTTTTTGGTTATTACTATTCATTAGCAGTCGATATTCGAGGAAATTCAATCAATGCAATCTTCTGCATCATTTTATAAATTCATTGTCCTGTATAAAATGCGAGAGGAATACACATTCTTGAATGAGTTTTCATTTATTAGAAGATCAAATAACACCACATTGAAAAAATCGAAATACGCATTTTGGTAACAAGGAAATAGAATTTAGAGGATGTTTCGAATTGTATTTTGAAAATTTAATAGGCAATAGAACTTTGGAACTGCGTTCTAGAAATATAGCCTTATTGAGGCATATACACTGTGAATCAGTTGAATTTATATTAATTCCCCTATTTCGAGTTTGAAATACTATAGTTTGGAACAAAACTTTTTTTTTTGGTGATTTTGCATTTATCATGCGATGGATTTTTTTTCGAATTTTTTTTTTTGTACTTACGTATTTTTGTCTGAAAAACACGAATTTGATAATGAAAAGGAAAAGTTAGAAATGTCGCCTTCTTTTTCCCCTTGTGCTGGATGCATTTACAGCTACTTGCTCTTCTTATTTTGTCATTGAACACTTGATGTACTCATGATGTACTTCGATGACACATTTTTATATGGAAAATTCAACAGGAAATATGATTTTTATGGAGTTTTTCATATTTAGTGAACAAACATACCAGACTCGATACCAGATGACGGCCATTTAATCAATAGTCAATCCAAATACAAGATGTTAAATGTCAACAGATTGCTTTTGAATGTCATTACACCATTATTTTAAATTATATTCTTCCTTCTTTTCACTAAACATAAATAAATCACAAGAAAATCATATTTCTAGTTGATTCATATACATTGTGATATATATAAATAATTGTCCAATGATGAAAGTAGAAGGACAAATTGTTCTGAATGCGATCCAGAAGACAGGCAGAAAAGAAGGTGAAATTTGTTACTTTATAGTGAAATATCTCAATGAATAATGGTTTGTTCAAATTTTCATTATCAATTTCGTGTTTTTCAGATAAAAATACGTGAGTACAAAAAAAAAAAATTCGAAAAAAATCCCATCGCATGATAAGTGCAAAATTACCTTTTTTATACAAAGATTATGCTCTACTGTGTAAATGTTCAGAGGTAGAAAAACTAAGGTGAACATTCAAGAAATTAGTATGTGAAAAAAAAATTAATTCACGCACCTTCTCAAATGGTTGTATGGCAAAGTTAATAAAAAATATTCGATATCAATAATCACATTGATACGTAGGTCTTCTTCTGACTGTGGTCTCGACTAGTATACTTTTTGCTTCATAATACCTCAATGACAAAATAAAGTGGTGTTAGATCCGGCGATCTTGGCGGCCATTGCATGACACGACTATCCCGACCACCCAGATTTCAATAATAATTATTATTGAGCCATCCTCTTACCATAATGTGATTTGGCCAAAAAATATAAATATCGAATATTTTTTCATGAGATTTGGTGTACAACAATTATTTTAGGGAATGCTGATCAAATTCTGATGTAGAATAAAAAATGTATATCATCTTGTGATGCAAATTCGATGGTTCCCAATAAAAGTATTATTGAAAATTCGCGATAATCATGATAGAATCACGCACTGAATCTCGGTAACATGAAGGGTAGATAATAATGGATGAAGGCAAATAATATTTCCAACGTCAACACCTCGGTCAACACTCTGTATAACACTCGGTATAACATGAACTATGCTCCGAAACATTCAAGCTTATGTATACAGGGTGGGGCAGCATATACGACACGGAGTTTCTATGGAAAACCAAATATCAATGTGTTTTTCCGGTTAGCTGGTTTTAGTCACATTTGTATGCGCGATTTGAAATTATTGTGAGTTATACAGGGAGTTAGGAAAAACATATACGTATCAATGTTATGTTTTTTCACATGATAGCCTCTATTTCATTACATTTTTAGAACTCTGTATTATCTGTCAAAATAGCTCACATATCCCCATCTTGACACTTGATTTACTATCTACTGACATTTAATTGAAACAAATACAGGGTGGTTCGAGATTCAGAATTCCGATCACCCTGTAATCAGTGTAATCATTTCTGCTAGACCCCATGTGATTGATGAAACCATCTTTCCAGAGAGAATCTAAAATGCAATGAAATACAGTGTGTTCTATTTAAAAAAACATCATTTTGATACGTCGTATCATTTTTTTCCTAAATCCCTGTATAACTCATAATTATTTCAAATTGCGCATACAAATACACATCCAGCCAACCGGAAGAAATATCCGTGATATTCTAGGGTTTTCCAGAGGGTTTTCCATACTTCCATAGAAACTCCGTGTTGTATGTGCTACCCCACTTTGTATATCAACTTTTATTTATATTTTTGCCAGTACTATAGTTGAATATTTCAAGTCTATAGGTATTGTACTTCATCGGCTTCAGCTACTAGATACTAGAGAATAAAAGTTTCGTCTATACATATGCTTACAAAATATAAATCATTAAGTAGGAGATAATTTTGGAAAAAAATGGATGACTTGGTTGGAGTTGGTTACAGAAAGAAAAATATAATACCTTATCAAGTAACGGCCGAGTCAATTCAAAACCTTGGCAACGGTTAAATATTGAGATACCCATAACGTCCGCTTTTCTGTAGTTATTAAAATTTTATACCAATTCTTGAAAGTACGCCAATAACACGGTTTCATCTATGGCAATAATTTTATTTTTCACAAGTCTGGATTTCTATAGAACTACACGAAGAAAGCAGCAATTAAATTCACTAAATTATATGATGGCAGCAATATTCACCAAACGTCACGCAATATCAACAAATGCCATGCCTACCATGAAAAGAAAAATAGAAAGAAAATGCTAGGAGCAATGAACCGCTCACTAAATTCGATTTTCCATTATAGTAAGCTAATTTTTTCATGAAAAATAAAATATTGTATTTATCCCTCGGGCCAAAGACCGTCGGGTGAATGTCATCTTCTGTTATCTATAATTACACTTGTTTCGCAATAACTACATCAGATTTATCTTGAGGATTCAAGAGAAATACAGTGAAGAAAAATTACACTGAAAAATTACCAATAGAGGATTTTGTGTTAACAAATAAATCCAATATTTACCAAGAGCTAATCTCTGTTTACGACGATTCTTTCTAGTTTGATTGTATGGACTGCAATGTACAGGGTGAGCAATAGAGAAAATCAAGAGAAGAAGACCTACAATCCCTGAAACCTAGAATTATTTTGCCATATTTCGAAAAAGCTAAACAATAAAAATTTTCGCCATGAAAAAATTTAAATGAACTGATGATTCCTTTATTCTTCGTTCCTTCTTTTTCTTCTTTTTCCCTTCATTTCATCTCGATATTTCAATCATTTTGTGTTCTTCACTTATTTTATACGTGCTAATTCAGCATGTTGAGGAGGGTGGGAAGCTAATTTCCATGTGGGAACTTTTTGACCAATTTCCAGATTTTAAAATTTATTTCAAAACACTTTTAAGACATGTTCGTTTTCAAAAACATTATTAGTTTTATTTGCTATTTGGTTCGAAGAGCTACTTGTTTAAATCGTTACAATTTCGTATTCGAATTTTTGATAACCTTCATTCGAATTTGTTTTCTTCAAATTTGCAACGGAAGATATATATATCAACGCTTCAAATAGGCCTCAAAATAGGTATATTTTTAGAACCGATGATACTATTTCAATATTTTTGCTAGTTGTTTTTTGTATTTTCTTATGAAAATATAAATGAAAGGTTTGGGTGGTAAAGTCTTGATAGATTTATTAATCACTTGAAAATATGTGTTCTTTCGCCATAATTTCAACTGAATGAAGCAACTAAAAATTTTATTTCATGTATTTTGAAAATGTATAAAAATTGCATATTCGAATGACAAATCATTGAAAAGTTGATAGCTGTAACAGTTGAGCAAAATATTGCTTTGAGATTGTCGAAATAGTGAAAATTATTAGAATTTGAAGAGTCAACAAAAATTGTTACTTCGCGAAAGCTTATTTACTAATTTTTAACGATTTTTGATAGCGATATTTTGTTGAGCCCTGACTGAATATAACATTTTTTTTCATAAGAATATGCGACTTGTATACACTTTTGAAATCCGATGAGAAACCTCTATGTGTCTCTTTCGACCTGTCAAGAAATCGTATATTCTAATCGAGATTCTAATATTCCCTGTATAAAATTCTCCTGTCCCTGTCACGAAGTTTGTTGAAACTATTTTTCAAATCGAAAATCAAAATGGTGGGTCCAGTGGATCCCGATTTTACTCAAAATTGGTATCTGGTGGTTTTCGGGGTCGGAGATTATGATTATTTCGTCAAACTTGAGAATTCGAGATCCAATATGGCGGACGAGTTTTGTGATCCGATTCTATTCAGAATTACTATCTATCTATCTATCTAAATTATGATGCTTCTGTCAAAATTGAGAAATTTAAGATGGTGGATGCAATATGTCGGACAAGTTTTGTGATTGTGATCCGATTCCATGCATCCATGATTTCTATCTGAGGGTTTTCGGGGTCGGGGATTGTGATTCTTTCATCAAATTTGGGGAATTCAAGATGGCAGATCCAATATGGCGAACGAGCTTTGTAATAAATTGTAGTTTGAAAAACAATAATGAATCACGCTTTTATAGAAAGCCAATCTGAAGGCCAAACTAAAAAAAAAATTGAAAATAGATACTATTGTTTAAAAACTAAAGAGATAGATTGAACTAAAAAGAAGTGGAGAATAAATAGTAGTTTGAAAAACTGGAGGAACAAGTTTTTATGGATTATGATGGATAGCCAAACTAAAGAGAAGTAGAAAACAAAAAAATGAAAATGTGCTGAAAAATACTTAATCAAAAAAATATTTTCTAGAAATAATGTTGATGGAAAAACAACGTTTGTTGGGTCAGCTTCTGTTCATATTTTCTACCCGATTCATCAAAGAACATTACGGAATTCAGA